AATGCATTAGGCAGTAATGTGGTGGAGACAGACTCCATACACAGTTCCAAATGTAGATATGATAAGAGCCCTATAGGCTCAGGAATCTGTACACCAGTGGATTGACAGTTAAGAAGCGAGACCAAAGAGCCAGAGCTCAACATCCGCAAGCACAAATAGGCGAGTACACCAAGGCAAAATGTACTGTCCGGCAAAGGAACACAAGGAAAAGGCCGTAGTCAGGGCTGTAAGCCTAGCTGCTCCTGTCCCAACAAAGGAGCAAGAGTGGGTGAATGGAACCTACAGCCACCAGCAGACATTGCAACACAGAAGTTGGTGGGGATATACAAGAAGATGAAAAAACTCAAGTTCCACATCTGAACAGCGGAACTGTCCAAGCGCAGGGAACTGAACATGTACACAGTCCAACCTAGCATCAACACTAGTATAGCCAATAAGCACATACTAAGAGACACGACAATGTGTAGTATAGAGGTAGGGAATGCAATGAAAACGGAATGTACACGATCAAGTAAATATACAGACACTCCAATGTAAGCAGAGTGCAGCCAAGCACCTAACGATGGCCAAGGAAGGAGTAACCAGAAGCAAGGAGTGAATCCAAGGAATGAGTGCCCAGCAAGGAATGAGCATCAAGAAGCAAAGACGGTCAAGGAATGTGTGTCCAACTGATGTTCAATGGAACTCTTCCCCACAATCAGGCCTTAACCTGGGGCAGAGGAGCATGGAGAAAAACACACAGGAAGGCCACATTAAGATGCACGTAAAATGGCCAATCAACTCCCTACAGACAACATTCATCCAAAAACCAAGAACCAGCGCCTGGCTGACAGTGTCACCAGACTGAATACTCTCACCTGAGAAGCGTAGACACTATCGTGTCACGACACAGCTGAGCCTGTAACATTCCGGGAACAACACTAGAGGATCATGTCCAGAGATGCGTGAACCGGAGAAGATGAGGTGTGGAATAAAGGTGATGGTGTAGCAACTCCGAGCCACCCCACACCTGTAAAGCAGAGAAAGAAGTAAGTGCCCTCCCCATATATAAAATCCAGAATGTCCCCAGTATCTAGGGGGCTATGACTGGAAAGAAGACGAGCAAGGGCGGCGTAGTACCTGCGAAAAAGGACGCAGAGGACCAAACACGTTTACTCCGCACAGAAATCAAAACAAACACCAACGGCACATGCGCTTGAGGACCGAGCTGCAACAACCAACTCTCGGGAAGAGTGCCTACATGATGTACTAAATTAACATTAGTAATGTCTAGACAGATGCAAGAAGATGTAATGAGAAAAGAATGAGATAATATCGAAAAACGATAAGTAGGACGGAAGAGGAACAACGAGCCCGAGAAAAGACTGGAGGTAAGCCTCACCGGCAGACGACAGACGTTCCAACAATATTGGAAGAAACGAAGATCTTCCCGAACCTCCGAGATCCTTGAGAAGCAAGCACAAAAGCATGGAGGCTCACAGGGGCCCAGTTGCATTTGCAACTAATGGTCATGCAGGATCCCGAGACGATGAGAACATGATGACATGCCTTAGAAGAATACATGTCCTAGAAAAGATGAGTGAGACAGTGGTAAAATCACCCACAGGAAGGACGGAACTGATGGACCCTAGGGACACAGAACCGAACCCGGGGAGGGGCTGACGCCAAACTAACTCATACGCAGATGTGGGAAAGGAAAACCCCACTCCTTGTAACCGAAAGGCTCTGCCCAGAGGGTTGGAAAACCCAGGCAGGGTCCAACGGGGCCCAAGGCCCCCAACCCCGGGAACCTCCACGTCAGGACCCGGGGGCGAGTCGTCCTCCCAAGCCCGGGCCACACAAGAAAAAGCTGGGACGGCCGAAAGAGCAGTAAGAGAATGGATCCACTGGTTAGACCCTGGAGCTACGGTCAGAGGAACGGACTCAAATGTAGCCACCCCGGAAGGGGCAACACCCGAAACTGCCCAAGTTTCGGAAACCTCTACACCCTGCCCTGACCCCGAAGCCCTCAGACGCTTAGGAGCTGGAAGCAGGGGAAGGAAGGGGGGGTGTCGAATGAACCACAGCAGGGGAAGAACGAGGTGGCACGGACGGAACCAAGGTTGAAGCGACCAACACCCCCAAGTCCAGGACCCTATAAACAAAACGGGGCAGCCTCAGAGCATCCTGGGAAGCAACTAAACGAGCACACTGCAACAACCTAAACCCACCTTGCAACGTGTGAGCCGCCTATACCCAAATAATAGATCGGGTGAACCGAGTCACAAATGAGCAACAAGCTCACAGGACTCCAGGTCGAATGTGTCACTGACCCAACAGGCAGCATGACGGAGGCAAAAACAATGAGCATCGCCTTGAGACAAGGGGACAAATCAACCCTTGAACTCGCAAAAAAGCGAGAGGGGACTCAGGGGTCACATCCAGTGGACCCGAGCGCCCTGTGGGGTTTCCCAGGGCCCCTAGACTGGGTCTGCTAAGAGTTTACCCAGGCAGGATTATCTTGAGATGATTTCAGGATTTAGCATCCCCCGCGGCCCGGTCCTCGGACAGGTCTCTCTTTTTTTTTTTTTTTTTTTGTTATATATCCCCGGGAAGCAGTCCGTAACAGCGGTCTAACTCCTAAGTACTTATTTACTGCTAGGTGAACAGGGGGCATCAGGGTGAAAAAACTCTACGGCCTCTGCCAGAATCAAACCCGGAACCTTAGGGCTAGGAATTCCGAACGCTGTCCACTCAGCCGTCAGGCCCCCCTTAGGGTACTGCTAACCGGCACCCAAGCTACCAATCGACACTGTTAATGCTGAACCCCCTGGGACGTGTCCACTCACGAGGGCGAAGCATGGGGTACCACCAAACACAAAAAACCTAATACTGTATAAGGGGAAAGGAACACCAAGGCAGAACCCCCCCCCCCCACCAGGCAAAAATAAAAATAAAAGAAAAACCTCGCAAGAGGACAGCGTACCCAGAAGGAACAGAGCCGGCCACTGTCATAGGTGAAAACTAGCTACACAGTACCCCGTGCCCCACCAGTGCTATAACTACCATTTACCCCAAGGCAAACCAGGGAGGAACCCTCCCCCCCCCCAACACTCAAGGCAGTCAATTACCAAGCAGCAAAAGACCAACAGAGGTAGACCCAAGGTGACTTGTGGAAGGTGATCCCCAAGCCTCTAGGGCGATACTTATAGGGCACTCAGGGAGGTGGCCCTAAGCACATGCAGCCCGAGTACCTATGAGTACAGTGTATTACTCCCAGCTTGCACACCCCCTAAGAGAAGTACTGAACCCAGGTTCAGCACAAATAAGAATCTGGAGCCACAACGACCGAGCCGTATCCCATCAGCCGAGGAGCTGAAGATGTGGATCGCCGGCGTGGGGATCTGGGGCTCCCCCTTACCCCTCCCGGGAAGGGAGGAGCTGCGCAGACATGCGGCGTGGCTCGTGTGACGTCATGTTTGTGTGCTCGTTTTCAATTGGGAAGTTCTGTCCACTCTTTTTGTCTAATTTTGTTGTTTTTAACCAGAATAGGGGTTTGTTTTGTGGCGCTTACCTTTCTGGGTGCCTGTCCCGGTTGATACCAGATATGAAATGCCCTAAAATCACATGTGCATTCTATGGGCCATTGCTCCCCGTGCCTCTCTGAGGAGACCAGATTCTGGCTTGTGGTGCCCGGTAGGCCTAGAACTCCACCCACATCGGGGAGCCGGTCGGCGGAGTGGACAGCACACTGGACACGTGATCCTGGGTTCGATCCTGGGTGCCGACGAGAAACAATGGGACAGAGTTTCTTTCACCCTCTGCCCCTGTTACCTAGCAGTAAAACAGGTATCTGGGAGTTAGTCAGCTGTCACGGCCTGCTTCCTGGGGTGGAGGCCTGGTCAAGGACCGGCCGCAGGGACACTAAAAGCCCCGAAATTATCTCAAGATAACCTCAAGATAACATCGACTGATGCCAGAGTTAGAGATATCCATATCAGCCTGGATAGTTCCAGGGAGCCGTTAGAGCTCCCCCCTCCCCAGAAAGGAATTTCTTGAAGTGGGAAAGTGAATAGGGCCATTGATGACCCATAAACAGTTATATATCATCATCAGCTATAAATAACAGCATATTTGCATTATGTAACAAGTGAGCCACATATTATTTTTTTTTCTTTCTTTTTCTTTTCTTTCTTTTTCTTTTCTTGGGAAAAGAAGAAAAAGTTAAAATTGTGTTTAGCAGAGTTGTGGTGGTGGTGTGAAGGGAGGCTTGGAACCCCTACACTGCTGTCCTTGTCTAGATCCTGCTGTAATTAACTGCACCTTCATTTTACCGGACACCAGTCACAATACATCAATAAGGGATGAACTGTAAAAGATCCTGATTGATTCTGCATTTGATTTTTAAATGCAGTTCTTGTGTGGGGTGTTAGGGGACAATGGATTTTTAATTAATAATCCAAGGTTATGTTGTCCTCTACTACTACTATTCTTATTTGCTACAGGTATGTTTTTATTAGTTTATATGATAATGTGTTTTAAACATGTACTGTATTTTAATAACAAAATTGCCTGTAAATGGTAAATTTGTAAGTTGCATTTTCCATTTTTTTAAATCACATTCCTGATGTAAAATTGTTCCACTGAATATAGGCCTGTATGGCCAAAACTTGAGTTTTCTGCCATGGTATTGAAGTTCTTTACTGGATCTGATCTATTCTGATCCATCAAGTGATCTATGAAATCAGGAGTCCACTGAAGAGAGAATTAACACTTTAAATAGTAAAATAAAGACTAGTTTTCTTTATTCTTAATTTAGATACATTCAAGCTTGGTAGTTTAAGATCTAAAGATATTTTGATTTAAAAGATACTATCTTAAACATGAACAAATCCACAAGGGCCATGTATTTTAAACATTTTAAAGTTTAAACCAAATTTTGTCTTTTTAAAACTTTTTAAGATGTAAATGCAACTATACATCAGTTTAACATTAAGTCTATAGGTAAATAAACTCCCAAGTAATGAAATCATATATATTTATAAACTATACAAAGCAAATTTACTTATCTAATAAATACTAAAAACAATTGCTACTGTTGGTTTTAATATCCAAATTGTCAGTATGTTCAGTTTCAATATTGATCAAACTGGGTGTCTGAGGTGTAATATTTTTAACCATAGGTTTACAAACACCAATGTTATTGATAATATGTTCCAAAGACCAGTGCTTACGAAGCAGAGCATGGTTGAGTGTCCACGGTCCATGACGAATACAACGCATCTGAGTACACACTGCTGTCGTCTTGAGTTTAAGCCCAAGGTCATGAATCACAAGTTTAAGGTACTCACCAGTTTCATTGATGCATAACACTTCTGTACAAAAAAGAATGAAGTATCTTAGTTGCGACATAACTAAGTGTAAACAAGTCAACAATATAGAAATATATTATCTTCATCACTGCCTGGCAATTGGCACTAGGATATACAGGGGTACGTCAGTCTTCGTAGTTAATCCGTTCCCAGAAATGGTACGAAAACCAAAAAATATGAAAACCGAAAAGAATTTTCCAATAAGAAATAAAGTAAATTGAATTAATCTGTTCTACACCCCCAAATATATTAACTAAAAAATATATTTTATACAGAATACTCTTAGGTACCTTACCTTTATTGAGGACTCTTGTTGGTGTATGGAAGACAGTGAGGAAGGGGGTTTTCCCTATGTTTTAACACTTGTCTGTAGTGAGACATCACATTGTCTCACTATGAATGATCTTCGTTATTCCTCTTTCATCATCCTCAACTATTTTCTTAGGTTGAACATTACCACTGACTTTCTTGGAACCCATGGCATGATATATAATAAGAACTATGTTCAGAAACCAAAAAACCAGCTTTGAATGTAATGATACGCCATTTTCTGGGCAAGCCCCGGAGGCTCCCTGGAGCTTATCCGGCTAATGTATGTTATATATTAGATCGGGACATTAGCTAAGGAGTTGAGACCTACCAGGGACCAGCGCCAGAACCTGGCCCCTTCAGAGAGGTTTCAGGGAGCAATGGCCCTGGAAAATCCCCTTGTGGTTGGGGTTTTCCTTATCTGCCATTGACCGGGGTTAGGTACCCAGAAAGGTAGGCCTAACAAAACAAACCCCCACATGGTAAAAAACTAAAACAGAAAACCGAACAGAGGTAGAAACTCCCTATAATCCCACGGAAACAAGCAAATGTCACACTTTACTGCCGCGCCGATCGTCCGCGCAGCCCTTCCCACCCCGAGAGGGGGAAGCCTCGGACCTCACCATGCCGGCTGCCTAGCATCAGTTCGGAAGCTAAGCTTCAACCAACGCAAAAAAAAAACACCGACCGGAGGGAAGGAGTGTTGCCAGGGAGCCTCCGGGGCTCACCCAGAAAATGGAGTTTCATTACATTCAATGCTGGTTTTCTGTGGGGAGCTCCTAAGGCTCCCTGGAGCTTCATACCCAAAGAAAAGGAAAAGAAAGGGCTGACCCTGGAGGCGGTTGCCACAAACTCCGCAATGCGAAGCCGAGACAACAGGCTGCAACCTGCGACCCAAGGCAACAAGAACGCACAGGAGCAGACACGCTCATCAAGAACGAGCGGCCAGGAACCTGGTTGATACCTAGTTGATGGGGTTCTGGGACTACTACTACTCCCCAAGCCCGGCCCGAGGCCAGGCTTGACTTGTGAGAGTTTGGTCCACCAGGCTGTTGCTTGGAGCGGCCCGCAGGCCCACATACCCACCACAGCCCGGTTGGTCTGGAAAGTCTTAGAAAACAGTCTAGTTTTCTCTTGAAGATGTCCACGGTTGTTCTGGCAATATTTCTGATGCTCGCTGGGAGGACGTTAAACAGCCGCGGACCCTGATGTTTATAAAGTGTTCTCTGATTGTGCCTATGGCACCTCTGCTCTTCACTGGTTCTATTCTGCGTTTTCTTCCATATTGTTCACTCCAGTGCGTTATTTTACTGTGTAGATTAGGGACCTGGCCTTCCAGTATTTTCCATGTGTATATTATTTGGTACAGTGGTACCTCGGAATACGAGTGTCCCTGTATACGAGTTTTTCGGAATACGAGCAGGATTTGCTCAGACAATTTGCCTCGGAAGGCGAGGGTTGCCTCGGAACACGAGTTTGTTGATACACGTACAGGCCGACTAGCTCGTGGTGGCACGGCGACCGCGCCTGAGTTTAGCAGTGTCTCGTGCCCAGTAACTATCCCGCCTCAATTCTTCACAAGGATTTACATTTTTTGACGTTTTTTTTGGCCATTTGAGCATAAAAGTTGTTATTATATAAGAACATAAGAACGAAGGAAACTGCAGAAGACCTGTTGGCCCATACGAGGCAGCTCCTATTTATAACCACCCAATCCCACTCATATACATGTCCAACCCATGCTTGAAACAATCGAGGGACCCCACCTCCACAATGTTACGCGACAATTGGTTCCACAAATCAACAACCCTGTTACTGAACCAGTATTTACCCAAGTCTTTCCTAAATCTAAACTTATCCAATTTATACCCATTGTTTCGTGTTCTGTCTGGTGTTGATACTTTTAATACCCTATTAATATCCCCTTTGTTATGTCCATTCACCCACTTGTAAACCTCTATCATGTCACCCCTAACTCTTCGCCTTTCCAGTGAATGCAACTTAAGCTTCGTTAATCTTTCTTCATATGAAAGATTTCTAATTTGGGGAATTAACTTAGTCATCCTACGCTGGACACAATAAGTGAATTTATATCCATTCTATAATATGGCGACCAAAACTGAACTGCATAATCTAAATGGGGCCTAACTAGAGCAAGATATAGCTTGAGAACCACACCAGGTGTCTTGTTACTAACGCTGCGATTAATAAATCCAAGTGTCCGATTTGCCTTATTACGAACATTTATGCATTATATATATCTCGCCATGGGTCTCAAGAAAGCCAGTGGTAAGGTTCAACCTAAGAAAATAGCTGTGAGTAGAGGCAGTAGAGGATGTCCCTTCTTGATTAAGAAAATGTGTGAAGTAGGGGAAGAACTACAAAGTTTTGTTGAAAAAACTCACTCAGATAAAGCTGTAGCAGGCCATTGCATTGACCTTTTAAATGACTATGTGATGTCTTACTACAGACAAGTGTTAAAATGTAGGGAAAAACAAGTATCTTTAGACAGATTCTTAGTAAGACTAGCAAGTCCTAGTGGTATGCAGGCAAAATGTGCCAGAGAGTGCACACCAGTGAAGTCCTCACTGCCTGATGTGATAATGGAAGGGGACTCCCCTTCCAAACAATAACACCTCTCCTCCTCCCTCCTCCTCACCATCTTCCATATGTCAACAGCAGTCATCAGCAAGGGTAAGTAATAACGTGAACATAGTTTTGTAGGTTTATTTAGATGAATTGGTATAAAATTTAGTTTGAAGTGAGGTTTTTGGGTAGTCAGGAACGGATTAATTAATTTTCCATTATTTCTTATGGGGAAATTAGCTCCGGATTACGAGTTTTCGGAATATGAGCTGTCTCCAGGAGCGGATTAAACTCTTAAACCGAGGTACCACTGTATCTCTCTCGTCTCCTTTCTAGTGAGTACATTTGAAGAGCTTTGAGACGATCACAATAATTTAGGTGCCTTATCACGTCTGTGCGTGCCATATATATTCTCCATATTCCCTCAATTTCAGCAATCTCTCCTGCTCTGAAGGGGGAAGCGAGTACTGAGCAGTACTCGAGACGGGACAACACCAGTGACTTGAAGAGTACAACCATCGTGATGGGATCCCTGGATTTGAAAGTTCTCGTAATCCATCCTAACATTTTTCTGGCTGATGCAATATTTGCTTGGTTATGCTCCCTAAATATTAGATTGTCGGACATCATTATTCCCAAATCCTTGATATGCTGTGTACCTATTATGGGCAGATTCGATTGTGTTTTGTATCCTGTATTATGTTTCAGGTCCTCATTTTTGCCGTACCTGAGTACCTGGAATTTATCGCTGTTAAACATGTTATTTTCTGCTGCCCAATTGAAAACTTTGTTGATATCTGCTTGTAATTTTTCAATGTCTTCAGCAGAGGTAATTTTCATGCTGATTTTTGTGTCATCTGCAAAGGATGACATGAAGCTGTGACTTGTATTTTTATCTATATCTGATATGAGAATAAGGAACAGCAGTGGTGCAAGGAAAAAACCAGCGTTGAATGTAATGAAACGCCATTTTCTGGGTGAGCCCCGGAGGCTCCCTGGAGCTTATCGGGCTAATGTGTGTTATGTTAGACCGGGACATTAGCTATGGAGTTCAGACCTACCAGGGACCAGCGCCAGAACCTGGCCCCTTCAGAGAGGTTTCAGGGAGCAATGGCCCTGGAAAACCCCATATGGTTGGGGGTTTTCCTTATCTGCCATCGACCGGGGTTAGGCACCCAGAAAGGTAGGCGTAACAAAACAAACCCCACATGGTAAAAAACTACAACAAAAACCGAACAGAGAGGTAGAAAACTCCCTACAATCCCAAGGAAAACAATCAAACAATCAATTTACTGCCGCGCCGGTCGTCCGCGCAGCCCTCCCCTCCCCGGGAGGGGGAGGGGGGGGGGCCCCGGACCTCACCGCGCCGGCTGCCGTCAGTTCGGAAACTAGGCTTCAACCAACGCGAAAAAACCCCGCCGACCGGATGGGAGGGAGGGTAACCAGGGAGCCTCCGGGGCTCACCCAGAAAATGGCGTTTCATTACATTCAACGCTGGTTTTCTGGGGGGAGCCCCTACGGCTCCCTGGAGCTACATACCCAAAGAGAAGGAAAAATGGGACTTACCCGGGAGGCGGTGGCCACAAACTCCTCAACTCGAAGTCGAGACAACTGGCTGCAACCTGCGACCCAAAGCAACACAAGAACGACGAGGAGCAGGGACATTCACCAAATAACGGGCGGCCAGGACCCTGTTCGACTTCCAAAATCCACGCGCCCGAATATGAGCCCAAGACATATTACCAAACACGGCAGCCAAAGCCGCAAACTTCCTAACGTCATGGGCGCGAGGATAGACCGCAGGCTGGCTAGATTTAATAACCCTGCGGACAACCTGGGAGACCCGAGCCCTGGAACAGGGAACGAGGGAAACCGGATCAACCCAAAGCGCATCCCCAGCCACTCCGGCCGAAGCGCGCAGGTAACGGCGAAGTGCAGCAACAGGACACAACACATGATGCACCCCCGGCCGAACCAACCAAGCATCAATGACCCACGGACCCCTCCGGAAAGCAGCCGTCTCGTTCTTTGCCAGAAAGGACGGAGAAGGCTGCAAACGGACAAACCTACCCCCAGGACCAAAAGAGCAGTAACCCCTGCGCCGGAGG